GAGTAGAGGAGGGATGCTGAGAGTAGAGGAGGGATGCTGAGAGTAGAGGAGGGATGCTGAGAGTAGAGGAGGGATGCTGAGAGTAGAGGAGGGATGCTGAGGGTAGAGGAGGGATGCTGAGGGTAGAGGAGGGATGCTGAGGGTAGAGGAGGGATGCTGAGAGTAGAGGAGGGATGCTGAGGGTAGAGGAGGGATGCTGAGAGTAGAGGAGGGATGCTGAGAGAGGAATAGAGGATGAGAGGGAATGAGGGATGCTGAGAGAGAAAGAGAGAGAATGAGTGATGTTGCGAGAGCAAGAGAGAGGATGAGGTATGCTGAGGGAGGATGAGGGAAGCTGAGAGAGGATGAAGGATGCTGAGAGAGGAATAGAGAGGATGAGAGGGAATGAGGGCATTTGTAGAGAGGATGAGGCATGCTGAGAGAAGATGAGGGAAAATGAGAGAGAAAGAGAGAATGAGTGATGTTAAGAAAGGATGAGAGAAGCTGAGAAAGGACGAGGGGATGCTGAGGGAGGATGAGGTGATGCGTATAGAGGATGAGAGATGCTGATAGAGAATGAGGGATGCTGAGAGAGAATATAGAGAATGTGGGATGCTGAAAAAAAGGATGAGGGAAGATTGAGGATTGAGAGGGAAGCTGATTGATGTTGAGTAATTGAGGTAAATTCAGCTAAATTTTTCTTACTGCCTTTTCATACTTACTAAGTCAGTATGAAAGGGAGTTGGTAAATTTAATTAAAAGCAATATTAAAAACGATATTTGCTCTCCATCTAGGAATCTGAAGACGAAGAGGAAGTAGTCAGCACCCCGCCATCTAGTGACGCAGATTCAGACTAAATAATACGACCAGCTGTCTCGAAGGGAATTGTACTGTCATCACCACAATCAACGGCAGAGGCCTGCATGTAAACATACAATATGCTCCTGCAATCCGTGCTGAGGGTTAATTGTAGGGAAGTAGTAGTTGTGAAGAAAGAGGGGTAATTATTACTCGGGCAACTATGCATGTGATGTAGTGCAAACATTGTTTAGGGTAGTGCCTCTGGTCGTATTACAATGCAGGAAAACTAGACACACACACATATAAATATATTGTATTATATATATCTTATGCCTGCTAAATTGTACATATAACGATGTTCGACCAAAGAAATTTGGTAGGAACTGTTGAAGGTCACCATGTTGACGGAGACCAGAGGTGGTGGCCATCCATGTATGATCACCATAGGATTAAAAAACACTGGCACATCGTCTGATATTTACTGGCTGTAATTCATTAGTAAAATATTAATGGATATCATTATGGATACTTATGTATATTATTGATGAATTTAACTCATTAGTAAAATTTTAATGTATACAGCTAATTAACACTTAAGCGTATCCGTATGCGATGATTAATTATCATCAGTAATGGTGTGTATTGTACTGCACAATTTTGTACCAGCACATAAGACGTTGTAAGGGGTAAGTGTAAATATTACAGGATTTTCTAATGCTTGGTTCTTCAATCACATATTCATTTTCATCGGGGATTTCTGGAGACGTGTATGTTGCTGTCAGTGAAATATCCTAGTGTTGTTCATGTCTTGTGAATAATAAATGTGAAAAATCTCAACATTATTTTTGGTACCATTGATATGAGTGTACTCATAATTTGTAAATGCCATTACATCATTATGCGCGTATTCAATGTGATATTCAGTGTGCATAGGTTTATGACCATATCATAAGGCAGGTGTACTTCAAATAAGGATAAGCAGAAAGGAATTTATGCAGGAATGCACAAGGACAGGTTGCCCGGTTATTGACCATAGAGGTCACCACTATACATTACAAGATGGCACCCTCCATGAAGCGGCAAGACCGAGATCCAAACTTAATGAAGGAGCGAGAAATCATTAAGGGAAAAGCAAAGGCATTTTTGGAAGATAGAAAAAATGCGAACGAATTAGTTGAAATCCTATCATATTTTGCGGTAAGAACGATATTGTGCAGATGAGCAATGGTCCGTAGCCGTAGGCCCTACCCGCCGTGCATTGACTCAATGATTCAGTCAATGACTGACATTTGTCATTTATTTAGTGTAGAGTAAGACTAAGAGTATACAAGTGGCGTATATATAATAAACATACAAATTACAATGTACATTAATCACTCATGAATACAATAGTGTCTACTTACAACACGATAAGCTCCGTAGTGGCGGCGCAAATCCACTTTAGGCACCTTAGGTATCACAAAGTGATGCACAGATTTATGTGTATCATCAACTGATGCACAGATTTATGTGTATCATCAACTGATGCACAGACTTTTCATATATCAAGGAATGATGCAAAAACCCTAACCCTAACCCTAACTTCTAAGTCATAAAGATTAAAGTATAACCTTAGGTATCACGAAGTGTGTTAGGGTTAGGGTTAGGGTTTTTGCATCATTCCTTGATATACGGAAAGTCTGTGCATCAGTTGATGATACACAGAAATCTGTGCATCAGTTGATGATACACAGAAATCTGTGCATCACTTCGTGATACGTAAGGAGCGCAAATTGCTGTATAGTCGTCATATAGACTAGTTTACGAATGCCAAATTGTAACATCTATGTCTATCTTAGAGAGGAAGCGATATAATCATTAACAATATGTTGATTTGTACAGGATGAAAGAGCGGAGATTCTATTATCAGCAATTCGCGCCGTGCACAAATTGTTTTGTCATGTCATCAACAGTAAGTCGATGGTTCTGCAGAAGTCCACGTTGGAGCTAGGAGATAATGGTATGCACTCATTAGCACACTTAATTATTTCCCTTCATGAAACTTAATAACGCTACCTATAGAATTTACCTTTCAAATTCATTATTCGTGAAAATAATGTCTGATGTGAGTTTATTGAGGCTCTCTGTTTTGCTGAGGATTGTTATCATCATTGTAATTTAATTCTGTTATTACTAACCCAATATCTGGAGTAGTTTTCAGGATGTCGGGGGACTTTGCCCCTGCGTGGCCTTGAAAAGTTTATTTTTCTTAAACATCCATGATTTTTCACCATCAAACGAGTTTAACAACCTCTGTATTTTAAGGAATTTAATCTTCCGTACAGATTGACCTCATTTCTAATGTTCAGCGCACCAGCCTTTGCATGTACTTCAATGTTTGCACGTATTATCAGTGCACAGTGGAGGGGGAGTTGGGTTCGACCTAGGTCGGTAACATTTGCATATATGTCTGCAGAAGGGAGCACGGCGGAGAAATACAGGGTCTGGCTGCAGGGACTGTACGCGGACACAATCGACCAGCTACTGTCACAGCTAAACAGCAGACACGAAAACGTCGCAGTAAGTATCCAAACGAGCAGTGTTTCCAGTGTTGACCACTGTGTGGCGCCACCGCCGGACCCGCAGGAATCCCCTCCATCAGTAATAAACTTCTTGCTTGCAACTCGATCCACTTACTCATGTAAGGTGTACAACGTATTAGCCAGCGAACCGTGCAGCTGTGATTTGCACGGTCAGTTTTGAAACTGCACGGCCAAAAATGTATAGCACGGCCTAAAATATTGATCTAAAGCCGTGTGCATTTGTAAAATTGCACTCCCAAATATTTTTTCTGCACTACCACAATACTCATTCCTGGCTAATACCCTGAAGGTGTAGGTCAAATGTTGCTATGGCAACATGTGCAATATATGCATGCAACAAATGCTATGTATGGTCATATTTATTTACATAATTAATGTAGCAAAGGGGATATGAATTTTGTCAAATGAGGTTGTCAGATTTTGACAGGCAAGCGTCACGTTACGAAAAACAACAAATATACTAAGTGTCCTCAATAGGACTTAAAAATCAGATGGTGACGACGAATTCCCACCTAAAACCCTTCAAAACAAATATCCGATTCCCAGGACGAAGAAGGTAACCCAAAATATTGATTACTAGTTTACACCAAAGGGAATTGGGATCAAAACTCGACTAAAGATTAATAAACAGTGTCGGGATTTGGAGGTGATGAATTTGTGTTATGCATGAATTGTAGGGTTTTCACGTTGAGATCAATGTGACGAGGTCCAAGGGATGCAGTTGTTAAGGTTCTTTATTGACTGAACATTACACCAACTCACATATTTAAGTCACAATAATATTTCATTATTAATTATTTAACAAATAAGAATACATATCATATATTCTACAGAAATATTAAACCAACACAAATGTATCAAGCATCAGCCGCATTCTAGTTTCTTCTAAAATTAAGAATGCGCAGTTTGATGTCAATCTCTCTCTCTCTCCCTCTCTTTCTCTCTCTCTCTCATACACACACACACACACACACACTGTCTTTCTCGGTCAGTTCCACTCACTACTCCATTTCATTTTCTATGCTCTATAGTTTATCTTTGACTACATATAAATTGCGCGCTATATACTTCTGTTGAACAGACACAGAATTTCCACGACCAGCTGGACTCTTCACCTTTTGCAAAAAATAACGATAAATCAAGTCGACCTTTAATCGTCCGTTTTGATTTCGTCTTCGAACCGCCGGCCACGAAAAACTACCGCGAATCCGTTAAAAAAAAAGATAATCGTAATTCGGTCTAACAAAACATTGCATAGAATCGGCGGCGTCCGATTCGCCCCCACAACCAGGTGGGGCCGGCGGTCGCCCCCGCAAACGGACAGGTTCGCCCCCCCCGCTTCCGACGTCGGCCGGCAGATGGCGCTAGTTGTGGAGGCGGGTTCGCGCGAGAGCGGCGTTGCGGTCCCACAGCTTCGCGCGCACGCGGTAGAACTTCGTCCCCAGCGGCACGCGAAACCGATTCTGCTCCTTCTTCGCCTGGCAGTACTCCTTGTCGACGATCTCCGCGAGCACCCACGACTTTGGCTGCGCCGCGGCGGCGGCGGCAGCGGCGGCCGCGGTGGTGGTTGCGTGCACAAGCCGCAGCGAGGCGCGGCTGCAGTGCTGAACAATACGCAGAAAAAAAATCATAAAATTTTTTTTCAACAAATTTACAAAAACGTGGAGCGATGGCCGCAATTGCCTTCTCTTTCTCCCTCCCCCTCTCTTACGCTGTCGCTCGCGCGCGCTCTCTTTCTCTCTCTCTCTCGCTTTCTCTCTCTCTCTCTCTCTTTCTCCCTCTCTTACGCTGTCGCTCGCGCG